GGGGTTGTTCGGATAACTTATTTTTCGGATAACCGATTATGTACGAAAAAATATATTAACCTATCCCGTGTTGAAATTTTTCTCCGTTGCGTGTCGCTTCGCGTTGAATTTTCGTCGATGTTAAGCCTAACGTAAACTTTTTAAAATAATAATCGTGGCTATTGTATCGTTAAAAATGATTTCTTTGTGTTTTACAAACGAAATATATACATTGAAAAGTATAAAAAACAAATAAAAATTATACTTTAGGCCGACTGGAATTCTTTCGGATAAACGACGCTCTACTGTAGATACATTTTGAGCCACAATAATGTATGGAGGGATCTGCTAGTAATTTTAATATTTAGAAATCTTCTCAATTCATTTCTTCAGTTTTCATAAAACATCTTGATACTATATCATATCATTTTCTTTTACATTTTAAAAAATTTATTGTTTTGATATCCAAGTAAATTAAAACATGACAACTTAATATTTTAACAATAAGACAAAGTAAAACAGGGAATTTTTTTTTCTATCTATCCACCTTTAAATAAAAATAATTCTTTATATGTTGAGAAATAATTTAATAAGTTTTGTAAATTACTACTTTTGATCCAGCCAGTTATATCCAATGGTTTTTCATCTATAAAATTTAATCTGTGAATTTTTTTGGTAGTAAAATCGACTTGCCATTGATCTTTCGCTGATAATCAATGCTTTTTAATAGAATCTATGGCCCAAGATTTCTCTTGAAAAATTAATTTTGTGATCAGTGCTACCCATACCACCACTACTACTACTATTTACGCCAGTGTTTCTCAACCTCTAACGAATCGTCGCCCCCTTCAATAAAACTGTTACGAAGTATCACCCCCTTCACTTCAAAATTCCGATGCCGAGGGCCAAGGCTAACGCCAAATTCGTACTGCATTGAATAGACTAGTGACTAGTATAATGTTATTTGTTTAATTATTGTACGATATAACGAATAAAATATCTAATTATTCTAATTATAATGTTTTACTCTATTGCCCAAAAAATTGTTTTTCGCCCCTCAAAATATAAATTGTTACTAATCGCCCCCTGAACATGGAAAAACTCCCACATGGGATATTGCCCCCTGTTGAGAAACACTGATTTACACCATAGACTTTTATGCACATGTTTTTTCCCGAAAGTTTTAATACAATTTGTTTTCAATAAACATCCAAGAACAGCCAGTACGTCATCATCAGATGCATGGCCAACTGACAGAGATTTTCCTCCTCGTGTGTGGGCAATAGGAAATTCTGAATTTCCTCAAGGCCAGCCCTGCACAGTTATTCCTCAAAGGATTTCCTTAACGTATGTGGCCACCTTAACTCTCTCATCCTCTTCCCTCTGGGGTAGGGGGTGGAATTTCCAAAAATCTCTTCTTAGTGTGCATTCTTGTGACATACCCTACATTTTAATGCAGTTAGAAACTCAAAAAAACCACATCTAAAATAGTACAGTAGAAGCAGAGTTCTTCAAGGTAATCCTTAACCCTCTTCCTCTCCCCGCAGGGGATTTCCAAAAATTTCTTATTAGTGTGTATTCTTGTGGTGTAACCTACTAAAACACAGTTAAAAACAGAAAAAACCTCATCTAAAATAGTACAATAGAAGTCAAGCTCTTTGGTTTAAACCTTAACCCTCTCCCTGTTCATCTGCAGAGGGAAAATTTGGAAAATCCCTTAGTGTACATTCTCATGATGTACCCTGTGTACCAAATTTCAAGTTTCAACTCCTAACTGTTTGGGCTTTGCAATTATCATTATCAACCCATCTCAATTACATATATATATATATATATATATAGATTGAAATACAATAATACATTTTTTTGGTTTGATGTTCAGAACTGTGAATTTTATTCAATATCTTAACTTATTTTTAAATTAAATCTTTGATATCTAATGAGGGGAAAGAATAAAAGTTGTTATATGTAAGCATATCCCACACAAATCTCTCGGTGCGGCAGGAGACGTCGGTAAGCAAGATTTAAAAACACCATGCAACATTTAAATTTTATTTATTTAATTCTAAGAAAAGCTAAAATCGGTTTACATACTTTATCGAGTAGGGTACGTTCAATGTTTTGGAATCACTCTTGTTCTTTGCACACTTATCCTAGGAAACATCCTACAAGTTCAAATAATACCAAAATTTGTGCTAACTTTTGTGCCCATTCGAAAGATGCCACTTTACCATTACCAAAATTTAACCAATTTTCACTAAATTGAAAATTTCTGTAAACAGTGTACTTTTTATTTCTTAAAAATAATTAATGTAGATTTTAATTTAAATGGCTATTTTTAAAAGATTTATTGTTATGCTTATCTAAGTTTATGCTTAACTCTAATTGAGACCAAGTAATTATTTGTATGTGACAAATATAATTTAAATTTCAGTTCTTTTGTTAATGCACATCAATGTTTTTTAATCAGTAGATTTCAAAATGTTCTCTTGAATAATGTAACATTCTTTCAATGTGTGCAAATTACAATAAGGATTGTCTAGGCTATTATGTTTTTGGGATAACTCTGCTACTAATGAGACCCATCAAGTGATATCCCAATCACAGGTTATGTATTATGGAGAAGTGAAGAGCGTTTTCCCTTTTCACTTCTCCATAATCTCATCCTTATGTGGATGATAAAGAAAATGGCAGGAAACTAATAATTTTATTGGTATTTCCTTAATTTTCAATTGCAGATATTCTGCAATTTTAGTTGGAAACATTTATAATTTCTTTCCAACTGATTGCTTTGATTCTTGAACATGGATTTGAAGCCAAACAGACGTGTGAAAGTTCAAGAGATTGCTGGTAAATGGTCTCGCCTGGTAAATAATCTTGATTTTTTTATATTGAAGATGTGAAGATTTAAGAAAAACAGAAATATTTAATTATATTTGCTGCAAGAAAAACATTATGAATACAAGAGATGATAATTTTTAAAAGTATACTGTATATAAAATATAAATCTTTATGAATCTTGTTTTTTTACTTACAAAGGTATGGTGAAGTCAAAGAAATAAACTTAATCAGAGACAAGAAGACTGGAAAATCGAAAGGATTTGGCTTTCTGTGTTACGAAAATAATAAGAGTACCATTTTGGCTGTCGACAACTTCAACGGCATTAAAGTACGTATTATGATGTATTAAATTACAGTACTATCATTTAACTTGAGAATTAATTTGTGCATGTATTTATAAAATTAGTCAGTTATAAAAGACTGACATATAACAAAACCTTGTTCAACTCTTATGGCATTAAATAAAACAGCACTAACTATTTGCACAATATTAAAATCGATTAGTTTTTAATATTGTGCAAATAGAAATGGATTGAAACACAAACATATATTTTAATATTGAAGTTCAACATTATTATATTTATCTTTCAAATTTTACATTTTAGAAAGACTGGACACATAGGTGATGTAGCTTTTAATTAAGTCGATTGTAATTTCTTCCTTCGTTTGTAAAGGAGTTCTTGGTAGTGGGATATTGTTTTTGTAATGCCCCACTTAGCTTTTGAGATCCAATTATAATCTGGCTTATTTTATACTATTTCTTTGTTTGTCGTCATCAGTATCGAAAACTGCGTTTTATCTGGATGTCTTGCTCTGTCCATTCATTGTTGCTAAGACACTGCCCAATTATTTTATTACTGCTAGAAGTCAACAATTTGGAAATTTTCTGGAGCAGTACAGTATCTGTCATACCATATATTGTTTGAATCAAATTAGTTATAGATCTTATAAAAATTTATCATTTGGCTCAATGTTTTCATAGCCAAATAAAGCAACAATTCAGTCTGACGTTTTTATGCAAGATTTTTGAATGTTTGCTTACTTTAAACTTTCATTCAGTATAGTCTCACTGTGGCTTGCAATGAAATTATTTGTAAAATATGTATAAAAGATAAATTTAAAACAATGGGGTTGCAGTTGTATATATATATATGTGTTATATATAAAATGGCAAAACTGTATTTGGGACAAGACTATGTCTCGGAGACTCACTACTGAGCGGAATCACTTTGACGCTCAAGGCGGGTCTCGTTCTCATTCTCCAATCTTCTTTGGTCTGGCTGCTTTTGGGTGCAATCGTTCAAACTTCATTGGCCACGATGCATTTTCGATGAAATTAACCTATCTAATTTCAAAATTTCTCTCTGTTGCGTGTCGGCCCGGGTTGAATTTTTGTTGATGCGTAACAATAATTTCCCGTTTTCGAAAAAAATAATCATGGCTATTGTATCATCCGAAATTATTTTTTATTTTGCACAAACAATACACAGTTTAACCCTATTATAATGTCATCGGATGTAACAACAACCCTAATATAACGTCAAATTTTTATCGGTCCCACAATTTTACTATACTAGATAATATTTTAAAAAACCCCACTTGTAACGACATAAAACCATTTTAATGTCATATTTGAAGCACTCCCAAATTTACAAAATCAGATTACAAATTTTATTTAACATAGGACCAAACACACAGTTTCTTCTAAGGTCAGAGTTCACTTCTTAGAATGGCTGTGGGTGGTACTCTCCCCCACCTGACTTCGGTGAGGTGAGGTGCCTGTTTGTAGAAGAGGGTCACCATTTTGTATTTTATTTTGACTGTTCTCAGTCCCCCAACTAACTACAAGTCTGGATTTTTATGCACAAATGATTTGGGCACCTAATACTCTGTGCCAAATATCAACTCTTGACATGTACTCTTTCATATCTCTATGCTGGTAACATAAAACAGCAGTACGATTTTATAAACAAGACATAGTCTTGTCAATAAATAGAAAATATAATTCTAAAAATAAACCATTTTTAAAAAAATCTTGGTTGTTTCTTGTTCTCTATTATATGTATTTTCTTAGCACAATGTTGCTGTTGAGAACATATCACACAGGAACACTTTCAGAGGAAAAAGGTTGTTTTATTGGTGTGAACGGATATGCATTTCGGGCTTAACGCCTCTTCAGTCCTATTATTACATATTTGATCTTATATTACATAACTGATCCAGGACAGGACTTGAACCCACATCCTCTGCTTGTTGTAATGCGGTGCGATGCGTTACCAATTGTGCCACCTGGACCCCAAGCCACATTTTGCTTTCAGAAGTATTTAAATTCTGATATAACCTTCCACGGTTACATACAGCGCTGGCTGGAGACGACTCTTACGTCAACGACCAATACACATACCCTCTACGTCACTCAGCCAGCTATCGCTGTCCCCAGCGAGGTATATATATACGATACACATCTCTTATAGAATTTTTAGATGGGTCTAAAAATATGTTCGATTTCCTGCAAAAATGGAAGAAACCATATCTAAAATAGTACAGTAGAAGCTGAGTTCTTCAGGGTATCTTAACCTCTCCCTCTCCCCGCAAGGGAACTTCCAAAAATCCCTCCTTAGTGTACATTCTCATGATGTACCCTATTAAAACGCAGTAAAAAACTCAAAAAAAAANAAACCCCACATGTAACGACATAAAACCATTTTAATGTCATATTTGAAGCACTCCCAAATTTACAAAATCAGATTACAAATTTTATTTAACATAGGACCAAACACACAGTTTCTTCTAAGGTCAGAGTTCACTTCTTAGAATGGCTGTGGGTGATACTCTCCCCCACCTGACTTCGGTGAGGTGAGGTGCCTGTTTGTAGAAGAGGGTCACCATTTTGTATTTTATTTTGACTGTTCTCAGTCCCCCAACTAACTACAAGTCTGGATTTTTATGCACAAATGATTTGGGCACCTAATACTCTGTGCCAAATATCAACTCTTGACATGTACTCTTTCATATCTCTATGCTGGTAACATAAAACAGCAGTACGATTTTATAAACAAGACATAGTCTTGTCAATAAATAGAAAATATAATTCTAAAAATAAACCATTTTTAAAAAAATCTTGGTTGCTTCTTGTTCTCTATTATATGTATTTTCTTAGCACAATGTTGCTGTTGAGAACATATCACACAGGAACACTTTCAGAGGAAAAAGGTTGTTTTATTGGTGTGAACGGATATGCATTTCGGGCTTAACGCCTCTTCAGTCCTATTATTACATATTTGATCTTATATTACATAACTGATCCAGGACAGGACTTGAACCCACATCCTCTGCTTGTTGCAATGCGGTGCAATGCATTACCAATTGTGCCACCTGGACCCCAAGCCACATTTTGCTTTCAGAAGTATTTAAATTCTGATATAACCTTCCACGGTTACATACAGCGCTGGCTGGAGACGAATCTTACGTCAACGACCAATACACATACCCTCTACGTCACTCAGCCAGCTATCGCTGTCCCCAGCGAGGTATATATATACGATACACATCTCTTATAGAATTTTTAGATGGGTCTAAAAATATGTTCCATTTCCTGCAAAAATGGAAGAAACCATATCTAAAATAGTACAGTAGAAGCTGAGTTCTTCAGGGTATCTTAACCTCTCCCTCTCCCCGCAAGGGAACTTCCAAAAATCCCTCCTTAGTGTACATTCTCATGATGTACCCTATTAAAACGCAGTAAAAAACTCAAAAAAAAAATTAAAGATTTATTCAGTTAAAATTCAATAATGATTTTAGTATTTAAAAGGATATTTTATTTAAATAACCTATAAAATATTTTTAAAAATTAGAAAATTTTTCATTATAATGGAGAATTAACTTACTTGATAATAACCTTATTCGAATTAAATGATTAATTTTAAATTCTAAAATGTAAAAAACTTGTTTGGAACATTATATTTCGAATTTGGAATGAATTCAAATATTTGTTCAAATTTGTTTATTTTGGATTTATTGTTTTTGGGTTACCCGAAAGATTGAAATGATTATTAATTGCCAAAATGTATATTATATGTGCCACTATTTATTTTCCTTCTTCATTATTTACACTTTATACTGACTAAAACTAACTCTCTCCTCCTCTTCCTTCAGGAAGGGTGGAGTTTCCAAAAATCAATTCTTAGTGTGTATTCTCATGATGTACACTACTAAAACACAGAAATGCAAAAAATCACATCTAAAATAGTACAGTAGAAGCTGAGTTCTTCATGGTATTCCTTAACCCTCTCCCCTGTTGAAGGGAATTTTGGAAAATCCCTTCTTAGTGTACATTCTCATGATGTACCAAATTTCAACTCCTAACTATTTGGGCTCTGCACTTATTATTAATATAAATCCATCTCGATTACATTATAAGATAACATTGTTCCATAATCCTTAAAGTATGTTTATCTGGCCAGCTTCTTATAATAGGATTTTTCCAAGAAACTCATTATTAGTAAGTGCCCATTTTGTTAATGCTGTATTACATTTTTTTTAAATCATTTAATACAGATTCATAATGCTGTTAGGCATTGCCATAGCATTCTACATGTCCATCCTATATAGTAGAAGCTATCGCTTGTTATTTTTAAGGTTTACCATACGTATTCCTGCCATATACATTTTCCTTACCTGTATTTTCCTTACCATATACATTTTCCTTTCCTTTCCATACCATTTCCTTATCTGTATGAAGTAGTTGCATAATAGAAGGGAGACATCTAATAGCTAAAGAAATATCATGCCTATTAGCATAACTATTAATTAAACAGGCCATCTTTACTCCTGTAATTACATATATCTTCTTATTAGTGGCTTGATCATCTTTCTTATTTTCTTTAAAAGGACCAAATTTGTACTTTTCTATTGCTGCTTTGATACAACCCTTAATTACCTCCCTAGGAAAACCACGTACAATTGTCATTTGCATAATACAGTTGAACTCTTGCTTTCTGTGTATTATTAAAGAAGAGTATATTATAGCTCTTTTTATTAAAGCTCTAAAAGCTTCCAGTTTAAGGGCCATTGTGTCATTCAATCTCCAATGTATGTATGAGTCATAATTAGAAGGTTTTTTATATACTTTCGTGGCATATTCATTTCCCAACTTGTACGGGTCAAGGAAGTTAACTCCTCTTTTGCTAATTTTGTCCAAATTAAGTTGTATTCTTACAGAGTTGTTATTAATTTCCCCTATAAAGTTTTGTACTTTTTTTCTATCATTCCATATTATAAAGATGTCATCTACATACCTATAAATAAGTTTTATACCACTGTTATATT